TTAATCCTTTTGCATTCAGCACCAATCTACAGAAGATCCGAGTGTTGCCAAACAAGGGGAAACAGGTAAGCGATCCATTTGCGAGTAAATCCCTTGTAATCCTGAAATGTGTTCAGTGTAGGTGTTGTACTCGAGTTATACCGTGTTACCGGGGTGCTATCTGTAAACCGAATATTGTCGATGAAAATTACGCGCCATTTTCATTTCAGGGAAATTATTATATTCTTTTGATTTCAAGGCTGGTGCTCTCATATCTGAGACTTTTGTATCTGGCCTAATCCCAAACGTTTAGCGAAGCATACAGATTTTACCACGAATGCCGTCTAGGTACTATTTAAAATTGTCTTCTTGTGAGAGTTCATAAAACGTTGCGGTACCTTGGTATTCGAAATAGGAATTAGAGAGGAAATTAAAGAGGTGGGTGAAAAGATAAGACAAAGTAAAGATAAAGGTAAGGTAAGGACATCAAACTTATCAGATCGAAAACAGAGTACATTGCTTATAGGTGAATGCTGTTGTATGTCATTAACACCTAAACAAGGACCTCAAATAAAGTTTTTTTTTTTATTGCTTAGATGGTTGGACGAGCTCACAGCCCACCTGGTGTTAAGTGGTTACTGGAGCCCATAGACATCTACAACGTAAATGCGCCACCCACCTTGAGATAAAAGTTGTAAGGTCTCAGTATAGTTACAACGGCTGCCCCACCCTTCAAACCGAAACGCATTACTGCTTCACGGCAGAAATAGGCAGGGCGGTGGTACCTACCCGCGCGGACTCACAACAGGTCCTACCACCAGTAATTACGCAAATTATAAATTTGCGGGTTCACTTTTATTACACGATGTTATTCCTTCACCGTGGAAGTCAATCGTGAACATTTGTTGAGTACGTATTTCATTAGAAAAATTGGTACCCGCCAGCGGGATTCGAACACCGGTGCATCGCTTCAACACGAATGCTCCGGACGTCTTATCTTTTAGGCCACGACGACTTCAAAAGTCCATTTTGAAGTCTAATATATGAAGTAAGAGTTCTTTATTGATAAAGGTAAAGGTATCGAATTCTAATTTATGCGTTTTGATTTGTTTATTTTATAATATAACCAATCAATTCCTATTCTGTTTTGTAAGTGGTAGATCTAGAGCATCCCCCAGGAGAGTTGATGTCGAACTGGCCCAATACTTTTCTATTTAATAAGTAAAAAAATATTATTAAATGAAAATAAGTAACTTTGGCAGTCCTAATCTACGTGAACTTTGAAATCGTTACAAAACAATATCCAACTTCAAATTGTTGAAGTTCAGATCTAGTTGCTTTATTACAAGTCGGGGATTAAAGGTTGAATTAGCCGACCGACGTGGGCAGATTAACAAAAGTGTATATCAAGTAATGCGTCGCCGGGGCACAAGTGAGTGAGCACACGTACAGGCAATTTGAGGAGTCACGGAGTCGCACAGAACTTTTCCGTGAGTAGGGTGGCTGTGTGATAAGAAATCCCGATAATTTAAAGATAATGTTGTGCATTTTCAAGATTTTGTTGTTTGAGAAGGCGTTAGATAAGAACGTTAATTTCTTTGTCAAAGAACGTAACTTTTGTGAAATGAGTCTGGCAACGCGGTCTTAAGAAAAAACCCTTGTCAAAAATATGTGAAACGAACCGGTTGTAGCTTTTTAGTTTTACTTAAGTTAATATTGTAAATGTGCTAAATACACGGTCATACGGAAGTAAATGTCGTATTAATAGATAACAAGTATTATCCCTCAAGATCCGTCACATTCTTGTCATCTCAAGTGGCCCGTGACGTCATGGGAAGTGACAAGACTTGCTGGTGAGGTGTCTTCGATTCACAATCGAGGAAATAAAGATGAAGGAAGCTTTGGAGCTCGTTTGAAACCTTTAGAGAGACTACGTCTTTATACCGTAAATTCCATGGTGCGTGCTCTTGGAAATTGTTTGATATGGCCTCATTATCTTCTTCTTCACCCGGACCACACTATCTACCAGCACCGGATTCCCTCAGGAACCACTGGAACCGGATAGTATTACTGCCTCGCTGCAGAAACAGGCCGAGTGCTGGTACCTACCCGTGTGAGTTCATAAGATGCTCTACCATCATTAATGACACAAATTCAAAATTTGACAACTTTATTTCGACACGACACGACGCTGTTCTTTCTTCTTTGAAATGATTCGTGGAGATGTATTAAGTAAGTGTTTTATTAGAACAACACGCGTATAACCTTATCCCTCACTATGAATGCAAAGGGGGCTTATCGATACCTCTAAAACTACAGCTGACTTTGAAGTGTTAGCCTAGAATAACCCCATCCGTGTTCTCCCCGTGAGTGTCGTTAAATGTGACTACGAGATATTGCGGAGAACGGACAGCAGCGTTTTCTATATATTAAATCAATTTACTAAATCATAGGATCCGATGGAATCACTCCAGCTCGAAAGGTGGGATTGGGAATAACATTGTGTCTTCGATTCTAGGTCTAAGGCAGGGTAAGACAGTATTCGTGTCGTGATGTCCATGGGCTCCGATTACCACTAAATATTAGATGGACTGTGAGCTTTTCATTCTTACGACACAATAAAAAAAAAACGGGCCTTTTTTATTTTTCCAGCAACCCTATCAATAGACGGTAACGAACTGTAGCCAATTGCTGATCTTTAAATGCCTTTACGTGAGACTAGACTCGAAGGAGTAACTTCGGAATTGACAGGAATGTCTTGAACTACGAAATAAACATATATAATGCTCTTTTAACAATTATCATTTTCGGAAAAAATATATATTCAGGTCACACCCTTCTTCAATATTCCATAATTCAAGTTGGTTGTAATCTTCTGTATAAATATCGCGTAAAAGCACGACATTACTGGACAATAAACTGAGACAATTTACATAAAAGAATAACGTCCCAATCTATGATTTTTACGGCGGTTTAATGTTGCCATGAATCAGTGATAAAAAACCCTTTTTTATCCGTTGTCCTTTGTAAAGGTGACGTATGACGTTTTGATTTTATTGCAGTACTGTACAGGGTTGCCAGATAACAGAAGTAAAATATACCGTTTTTATATCCGTTTTTATGGGAATTTGCGATACGGAATAAAATTAATTGATTCCAGAGAAAAGTAATTCTTATGCGTTTGAAAAAACTGTATATACCCATGTCGAGTGTAACTCAGAAAGCTGGGAAGCATGTTTTAAAAATTCAAATTTAGACAAGTAGGTAACAATTTAGAATTTAACTGAAATACTCCTTGTAATTTTTTTGTACATTTGCACATTGATAGCTTATCGACGTTGACATTGATCTCATTGAGAGAGGAAATACTTTAAAGTTGGCTTTAGAAATACGACGAGTTCACCGCTTTATGTACACAGACATAAATCAATAAAGAAATACCCTGTTCCTTTCGATATTATAATTCATCAAATCTTTTGAAGTTATACTTCTTTAGGCGTGTTATGAAAAATTTATGAGAGTGAAATTTTACGATGCGCGTGCACCGTGACACAAAATTAACAGAATGAAGTTGCCCACTAAATCGCTCATAACAATACGACCGACGTGACTTGGCGAGTCTGAATATAGCCGCAGGTGAACTTTCCGAACCGTACCGAGAATTACCGAATTTATACGATGTCAAGAAAAGGGATGTCCAATATGCGTGTTTGAGGATGTTGCTTAATCGATTTTTTTTCAAATTGATTAAAATTTAAATAAAAAAAAATAAAAAATTTAATCAAAATAAAGTATAACTTCTTACGCGCGTACATAAGTACACGCACCCTTTTTTTCATAGATCTTTTGAGTGATAGTAAAAATCTTGCTCGAAACTACTCGGAGTAATATGACCATTTGTTATTTTTTTTATTTCTTAGATGGGTGGACAAGCTCACAGTCCACCTTCCATACAAATTTGAGTTAACTTTTACGCGATCGAGAAGTTAAAACAACTCGCACTAAGCACACAGAAATACCACGGGCAGAGCCAAGCCGCTGCCTACCGTAATTGAAATGTAAAACTAGTTAAATCTTTACACTAGTTTCAATAATGTACAATTATTTGCCAATTTTAATACATCACTGATATTCTGTAAGTTGAGTCTCGAACGCGGCTCACGTTACGTGACCTTGCGTTGTGTCTACTCATTCGTATTATATATCAATGCTAATACGACACAGACGGAACATTTCCTTGTCTATCAACTATCAAGTACAACTATAAATATCCTATATTATTTACTTTAAAAATCTCAGATAAATAAGACCTATAATTAAGTGTTATGAAATAAATGCCTTTCTAATTCGAGTTTTTATTTATTGTTTAGATGGGTGGACGAGCTCACAGCCCACCTGCCACCTAAATGCGCCACCCACCTTGAGATACAAGTTCTAAGGTCGCAACTTGAGACTCTCAAGTATAGTTACAACGGCTGCCTCACCCTTCAAACCGAAACGCATTACTGCTTCACGGCAGAAATAGTGTGTGGTACTTACCCGCGCGGACTCACAAGAGGTCTTACCACCAGTAAGTATTGTACCAAAGTAGTAGTGTAGTACCACCAGTGTAGTACTAAATCGAGCGAGGAGTACAATATAGCCTATAGCGACGCGGGCACCATCTCTGTTATCAAATGATTTTTACCTTTATTCTTCCTTAATCTTCCATTGCCTACATTCCATTAGGGTTCCCTTATAAAAATCATAAAAGAAAATGCCACATCAATATTTGATTCTTCAACGCTTATATAATCAATATTACAAACTTATTAGGTGCTAAATGGCTGTTTTAATAATCCTGATGACAGTGTTTCGAGAAACATAAGTACGCCTTGAGTCGAATCGTTCAAATACTCTTAATCTGTACCAGGACGCATCAAGCGTACCTTGACCGTGTACTAATAGACTCGCACGCGTACCCAGCACGTCAGATCACATCACTCTAATGGGATAATCGGCTACCTACTGCAAGGTTGTGACGCTCCAGGCAGTCCTGTGAGCTCCGGCCGCCCCGCTGCCAGTCGACACTACGCCTGCCCAATTGCCGCTAATGACACCATTCGAACGCGTATCCGTTCAATGTACTCCGAAGTCAACAGGGATCATACAGTTTGTGCTCCGACACGATCTGAAACATATCATTAAACTGCTCCGAGAATTTTTTCAAATCAGTGCTATGCCGTGATCCCTGGAGGACGTACCGAAAATGATCGCGGAAAGGTGTGGAGAGACGAGAATGCGCCCCGCGGGAGGACGTGCGAAAAACGGGACGGCTCATTCGAATGATAACTATGATTGATTGGACTTTAACTGTTGAACAACAGCCTAACGTGATGAATGGAATAAACGCATCCGCTGGGAAACCGGCGGCCGTGGAAACGGGGAAAGACGAAGCGAAAATTAAAAGGTCCGGCGTCAGAGAGAAATTGATGCAGATCAGATCGAACATTACGGTGGAACCGATTATTGCGTGTTACATTATGTCTAATGTGTTCTCGGGACTTGCAGTGCAAAATCTGAATTTAGAGAAGGCGTGCCGAGTGAACTTGGGTTATAGCGATGAAGTGTGTTCAGCACTGAATAGACGGCAGACTGAGAATTACACGATGGAGGAAGCAGAGGTCCAGAAACTCACGGCATCCGTGCAAGCGTGGAAGAATATTGTACAAACAGCATTTCCGTGCATTCTCGTGTTATTTGTAGGCTCTTGGAGTGACAAGACTGGAAAGAGAAAAGCGTGCATATTACTCCCGATCGTAGGGGAAGTACTCTGTTGTACTAGTTTTATTTTGAACACGTATTTCTTCTATGAATTACCGTTGGAGATAACGGCCCTATCGGATTTATTTCCGTCATTAACAGGAGGCTGGATAACTGTGTGCGTCGGTGTGTTCAGCTACATTGGAGATGTGACTACGAAAGAAATGAGGACATTCAGGGTGGGCGTGGCGAATCTCTGCATGTCCCTGGGGATTCCGCTCGGTATGTCCCTGAGCGGTATACTACTCCAGAAGATTGGTTACTACGGGATATTTTTGATATCGAATTTTCTGTATTTGACCAGTTTCATTTACGGCTGCATTCGGTTAAAAGATCCCGTAATATCGGAAGGGAGGCACACGGTGAGTTCATGTTCAAATTAGCACGGAAATGATTGGATTAAATGTATTTGATAGAAGTTTTACTGGTGGTAAGACCTTTTGTGAGTCCGCGTGGGTAGGTACCACCACCCCGCTTATTCCTGCTGTGAAGCAGTAATGCGATTCGGTTCGAAGGGTAGGGCAGCCACTGTAACTATATCTGAGACCTTAGAACTTGTATCTCAAGGTAGGTGGCGCATTTACGTCGTTGATGTGTATGGGCTCCAGTAACCACTTCACACCAGGTGGGCTGTGAGCTCGTCCACCCATCAAAGCAATACAAAAAAAAAAGAACTCGTCCACCCATTCATAAAAAACTACTAAAATCTGTTTGCACTCTATCTATATCTATACTAATATTATAAAGAGGAAAGATTTGTTTGTTTGTTTCGAATAGGCTCCGAAACTACAGGACCGATTTGAAAAATTCTTTTTCCATTAGAAGCCGACATTGTCCCTGATGAACATAGGCTACTTTTTTTAAATTTTTTTTATTTTATTTTTTTGGTTTCATGTGTCTTTTAATGTTTCCGAAGCGAAGTGAGGGCGGGTCGCTATCTTTAATATTATAAATGTGTTTGTTTGTCCTTCTTTCACGTCGAGGCGAAACAATGGACATGATTTTTTCAGTGATAGTATAAGGTTAGAAGAATGACATATGTTACCTTTTATATCGAAAAAAAAACCAGCTCATTCCCACCGTAAACTACAATAGCACTTTTCTTGGATCATGTGGGCGATGCCGCGGGTGATAGTTAGTAAATTTTAAACTCTCAAATCGCAACACTGATATAATGATATTGATGTATACTGATGTTAGTCTGCAGTGTCAAGTCGTTTGTCCATTAAGACATTTATAATTTAAAAAAAATACAAAATACAAGAACAAGAGTTCAACATTGATTTAGCATTGTATTGAAATATTAGTTTCATGATCTTCGCCAGCTTAAAACTGTTTTACTTTCTCCTAGCCTCCTTTCCGCTTCATTGTAATTCTTAAAATTAGGCGAGCGTGTGTCGTGCAAGCTTACGAAAACTGTTTTTTTAATACAAAACTTCTTAGTTAGATTCAGATCTTCAGATCTAGACTTAGATCTTAGTTCAGCTGTTTTATCGAAAATATTTATGAATTACATATAAAAACCATCCTTAATTATCGCTCACTCAAATCGGTTGCATGCTTTAGGATAAGTAAGCGTGTAGACATATAGACACAAACTACGACTACATATTGTAAACAGTATCTAAAGGCATTTCAAATTCGCATCGCATTATAAATAAAATTTGTCAAGAAAATGTATACGCAATAATCAGTTTTCAATCGGCTTTCGAGTACAGAATAGATGTTATATTGTAAAATACTTCAGTGAGATTCGCAGTGGCGTTCTGAGCTAGTTCTGTGTTTAAGTGATAAATTGCTGTGAACTCGCTACGCAAATTCTAACGAAGGGGAACGTAACGCAATCGGTTTGTGCGAGGATCGGACGAGGTGCCACCTTTTATACCACCGTAGGGCTTTCGGAGTCATGGAGTCTGTTATCTGTGTATCTAAATCGTCGGATTCACGAAAAACAGATAGCGAACGTCAATACCCGATTCCCTCACTAATATTGAAGTTTCACTTGAAAATTTGACAACCAAATATGTGTATACGATAACGGATGTCCTGAACCCCAAAATCGAGGCAGACGATACGTATAAAAAATTAGGTGACCTTTTAGTACAAGCTTCGTTGTGTAATTTTTATCTCAGTTTTTTTTATGGGTACGAATGCATTCGCCAGTCGCGTGTTAGGTGGTAATTTTTTTTTCTTACCTATACTGATAGCCTTGGGATGCTATTTCAGCTTCTCCTTGACGTGCAGGTGAGCTCACGGGGCTCAAGCCGGAAATGCCGACACTGACACTAGCAAGAGCAGTGCTTCGCTGAATCTACCACCGGATCGGAAACGCGACCCGCTGAGAAGATCCAGCGAGAAACTCAGTGGGCTGTGTCTATGGGTTAATTTACTCGTCAAACCCTTCGTCGCAAGCGACGGGTTCGACCGGTCACCGGTCACCGTCCTCCACCACCGATTCGGTGGTAGATTCTGCGAAGCACTGCTCTTGCTAGGGCAAGTATTAGCAACACTTCTGGTTTAAGCCCCAAGAGCTCACCACCTACGCATTAGGGTAAAGCTGAACTAGCTTCTGAAGGTTATCAGCATAGGTAGTAACAAAAAACAAAGTGTACTTAGCACACTTGTCCTGATTAGTTGTGCGGGCTTGGCTTACGTTACGAGCCAAATTTTTACTTGTTGTTATTAATTGTGTATCTTTTCTTTTTTAGCTTGCAATGTGTATTGTGAGCCTAATATATTTATAAATAAATAAATGAATAACGGCTGTCCCACTATTCTAGAGATACGCAGGATGATGGTACTAACCCCTGTGCGTTTAAAATAAGCTCTAACGCCCCTATTCGGTCTCCTATCTGAAAGCGAACTGTGGCATTAATTCTAATATGGTCTCTGGTCACTCAATAGATAGAAGGTGAATTAATCCGTCTACCTAAGCCAATAAAAAAATCCAACAATAGCCCGAAGCTGCAGGTGTATTTTTTATTTATTAGGTACACAATCTATCTCTATATATAAAAATGAATTGCTGTTCGTTAGTCTTGCTAAAACTCCAGAACGGCAGGACCGATTTGGCTAATTTTGGTCTTGAATTATTCGTGGAAGTCCAGGAAGGTTTAAACGGTAGATAAATATGAAAAGGCTCGGAATTAAATAAAAATAATAATTTTGTTTTTACTTTGATGTGTCTCCCGTCGGACGAATTCCTTTTGTTTGTTTTAACTTTATTTTATACAAAAGTTTAGGTCTTTTATTTAGCGATTGAGGCACTACGAAGTCTGCCGGGTCGGCTAGTACTGGATAAAATCTACACACATTAACAGTTAACTTTAATAAAAAATGAATACATTGTTCAGTTCACCCTTTTGGGTGTGAAAACAACTTTAATTAATAAAATATTATTATAGATGTGTATGAACATTGGGATCTTGCGCTTACAGCTCAGTCGCTGTTCTTGTAAGATATCGGACTCAGGGCTGGGAATTTCATGTTTTAAATAAATTATAAATACTGTAGTAGCATGTGAATTGCGATAATAATATATTCTCACGTGTATCTTCGTTTGATTGTTTGACGATGTATTTAAAATATTGTCTACATTTTTAATACTATAAAACGAATATCTACTTGGTCTGCCGATGTGAAACAGTAATGGAATTTAAAGTTTGCGAGTGTGAATGTTGTCTCGGTTTTTTTTAATTTTATTGCATAGTTGGATGGACGAGCTCACAGCCCACCTGGTGTTAAGTGGTTGCCGAAGCTCATAGACATCTACAATGTAAATGCCGCCACCCACCTTGAGATATGAGTTCTAAGGTCTCAGTATAGTTACAACGGCTGCCCCACCTTCAAACCAAAATGCATTATTGCTTCACGGCAGAAATAGGCCAGGTGATGGTACCTACCCGTGCGGACTCACAGAGGTCCTACCACCAGTAATATTTTTCAAGCGGCACTCTTTAGTTTTTAAATTATATTTAGTTATTATTTGAAAAATCCTTGTCGGCAGCACCATAGATGAGAGACCCATTCGCAGCTAAGATCTGATCCAGTTCGTCGATATGAGTTATCCCAACTGACAGTATCACAATGACATTACCTACTTGTGCGAACTCACAACACCCACCACTAGTCCTACCACCAGTAAAATAAAACCTTGAAAGTTAGGTATTGTCAATGTTGTTGTATTTTTTATTATAATTTTTAGGAGCAACCGGTTGGTTGTCGCGGATGGATATGTTCATTCTTTGACGCCCGCCACGTGAGGGAGACGCTGACGGTGGCTTTCAGAACCGGCCCACGGCGGAGAAGACTTAGGGTCTCGCTGTTAATTGTTGTCGTATGCGTTATATTTGGGCCTTTACACGGTGAGTCCAAGTATGCTTAACGCTTAGCTATAGGTAGGTTTTTATTATTTTTATTGCGTAGACTGTCAAGAGGTCATGGCCCTCGGAGTGTTATTTTAAGGCTTAAGAAATGAAGCTGGAATCTCAGCTGGAACGAATGATTTAAAGTTGTCCATAATTGCTGAAGTGTGCAATTTCCGGTATCACTTAAAGCCCAGCGGTATTTTAAGCCAGCGCGGGTAAATATAATCATGGGGTATTTTGGATGGGTGATGTTCTAATGCTATCATAGGTTATCATTTTCCAAGTTAGTTCGTCTTTATATTACTTCAGTGTATTAAGAACATGTTTTTGATAATCTATCTATATAATATATATAAAAATGAATTGCCGTTCGTTAGTCTCGCTAAATCGCGAGAACGGCTCGACCGACTTGGTTAATTTTGGTCTTGAATTATTCGTGGAAGTCCAGCGATGGTTTAAAAGGTAGTTAAATATGATAATCCTCGGAATTAAATAAAAATAACATTTTTTTTTCCTTTGATGTGTTCTCCGTCGAACAGATTTCTTTTATTAGTTTATTTTATACAAAAGTTTAGGTCTTTTATTTATCGATTGAGGCACTACGCAGTCTGCCGGGTCAGCTAGTTTTCAAGTAAATATTAGTAAAATCACAACGGTGAGTTTTACTGGTTTCGTCACTAATTTTTATTTGTTTTTTTTTTCCAGGTGAAATGAATGTTTTGTATTTATTCATGAGGTACAGATTTAATTGGGACGAGGTACAATTCAGTATGTTCTGCACGTATAGCATCATCACCAATTTAGTGGGTAAGTGGGAAGTAACCGTTCACTATGTGTCAGCCGTCTTCGGTACTATGCGAGTCTTATAGCTCTGACATATTAGACGTACGAAATGAATGGTAAATAAAAAAAAACACGTGTGGTACTCGGGAACTGCCGCGGCAAAGCTATTGCATAGCATTTTTTTTATCTACTTATAATTATAATTAGTTAACAATAATTTAATGTTAAAACAATAATAAAATAAAAACACGCTATATTTATAAACATTAACAAAAGCAAAACATTAACTGTCCCCATCACACTCATAAGCTAGACCGCGCGAGCGAGAGATATATACTATACTGAGAACTCAGAACTTATATCTCAAGGTGGGTGGCGCATGTACGTTGTAGATGTCTATGGGCACCAGTAACCACTTAACACCAGATGGGCTGTGAGCTCGTTCACACATCAAGCAATAAAAAAAAAATAAAAAAAAGATGGGCGGACTTTTCATGATGCGCATGCAGTGTGACGTCACGTATTTTCGATGTCGAAAACCGGACAAATTAAAGTAACCCCTTTTTGTTTGGGTACAGGTACATTGTTCTCAATCAGCATATTCAGTGACTTCATGAAGCTGGACGACACTGTAGTGGGCATCATCTCTTGCACTAGCAAGATCTTCGCGTCTCTGGTCTTCGCTTTCGCCACGACCACTGCTGAGATTTACATAGGTATGTCCCAACATATAATAACGAATACAGACATAATCATTTTTCGACTTCCTGTGACGTTTTTATTTATTTATTACCCTTGTAGCCAGACGAGCATACGGCCCACCTGATGGTGAGTGGTTACCGTCGCCCATGGACTGCAATGCCAGGGGCACAGCCAAGCCGCTGCCTACCGCGTCCTTATTTAGCATATTTTTTCTAACTTTGCTGTTATTATGTCAAAAGGCTATTAGGAATTTGAATTTTAAGGGTAGTCGTTTTTGTGGCGAGAAAATCCTAACAACATCGTTGAGTGTGGACAACCTTTTTTTTAAATAACAGTATTTTCTTGTCGTGAAAGTTAATATTTATTATTATTGTGTTAATAATAATTGTCTTTATAATAAAATAATAATAATTGCATTTATTTACTCCACAATACAAATAACTTTTCAATTAATATGACATTTAAATTCTAATTCTAAGCAATATTATTTTACAATATATTATACTGACATAGTGGAGATAAAAAGGCCGCGGCTCAGCTTTGTGATAGCTGAAACTGTAACAATGCAATGCCTGTAATCTTAATCTATAAACTTAAATCTAATAATACCTAAATTTCAAATTATGTGGTATAATCTACAGAAGCCCCGCCTCCACACTTTGCTGTTTAAATAGAAACTCCTTATAAAAGTATTTGAAAGGGCTTAATCCTTGTGAGAGTCTACTTCTCAAAGGCAGAGGCAGACAATGTGGGTTAAAGGCAAGAAGAAAAGGCCTTAACGTGAAATATTACAATTACATTATTTTGTTTTAGCTCCATTGGTAGAGATATTCAATGGTACATCGTTCATAGCAATGCGATCAATAGCGTCAAAGTTAGTGACGAGTGAGGAGCTGGGTGAGTGACTGTTTTTTAAGCGATTATTGATCAAATTTCACCATCCCGCAAATGTTAATGCGATTTTTTAACTACAGGAAAACTAATTTAAATAATTATTTGAAATTCGAAGATACGAGGATATTAGAGGAAATTCTAGAAAATATAAAAGCATAACATATAATAGTTTCTGTTTAGATTCGCCATTAAGGCTTTTTCTTGCGATAACTGACAATAGTTCTCATTGAAGACATGAAAGGAACTTTACGAATGTCAAAAAAGAAAATACCAAGTCCCTCTCTGTATTTAAATTTTATTGAAGAACAAAATGTATTGAACATAAATAATGAATCCGACAAAAAAAAAAAAGTTGTCTCATTATGTTTTTTAATTTGCCCATTTCTGTTGCTGTTTATGATAGTATTGTAGATATAGATATCGAAGCGCCACGAACAAACTTTATAATCGGCAAACGATAAATATGAAAGCCTAAATAAACAAACAGAAATCGATTAGCGTTATTATTTACTTTGAAGAATAGATACGTTGATTACAATACTTTAATTCGTTCAAGTTATTACTTTGTTCGTAACAAATAAAAAGCATTTTTTATAAATTAGAAGACGTAACTTCGGTAGATCCTTATGGTCCGCATCGTGCTACGCTAACTAGCCTAACTGAAACTGATAAATCAGAATTGAGAGTTTAAAAAAACAGATGTGGCTTTGAAATGATGACAGTAAAATTAATAATTTATTTAACGAAAAAGTCTGGTGAATAATTATGTCACCTTTAATTAAGCAATACCTAAAATGAGGAACATGTAAATTTAATTTAATTTAGTTATTCCACAAGATTATTAGCCACGAGCGAATCAACCCATAGCCAACTGAGTTTCTCACCGGATCTTCTCAGTGGGTCGCGTTTCCGATCCGGTGGTAGGTTCTGCGAAGCACTGCTCTTGCTAGGGCCAGTGTTAGCAATACACCGGTTAGAGCCCCGTAAGCTCATCTACATGTTCGGGCGAAGCTGAAATAGCCTCTCAAGGCTATCAGCATAGGTAGGAAAGAAAAAAAAAAATTAGCGAACTATCAACAATTAACCCAAAATAAAGTGGTTTTTAAAGTACATATATTTCCGTCTAGTTATTGGAAAATACTGACATTTTGAATATATTTTCTTCCAAAATTGTACTGAAAAAGATATGTGTTATGTATAAACAATACAGGCAAAGGCTTTGTTGTAGATCGTATTTATATCACAGAAGAAATGTATGAAATGGCTAACCAAGAAAAGTGTTTCAATTTTGTTATTAAGCTATTCGAAGCTATGTTCTATTTTCAAGCACAGCTTTGTTTAGAAATTTATTGAAACTTAAATTAGGTACATTATCGTGAGATATTTGGTTTATGTGATAAAATGAACTTGTCAAACCGAAATAGTTCTCAACGTTTTACTTCAAAGAACTAATTCACAAAGCTAGGTGTAGCTCATTGATGTATTGAAACATTAATTACAGTAATTTACTTGAGACGTAAATTGTTTGTCATTACGAACAACATTTACTTTATTAGACAAACAATTAAACGAAATGAATGAGACAAATTACATTGCACAGATATTAATATACTTTATACGACGTTAGATTACTTAATTATTCCAGAGTCGACTGATACTGGTGGTAGGCACTCTTGTGAGTCCGCACGGGTAGGTACCACCGCCCTATCTATTTCAGCCGTGAAGCAGTAATGTGTTTCGGTTTGAAGGGTGGGGCAGCCGTTGTAACTATACTGAGACCTTAGAACTTATATCTCAAGGTGGGTTGCGCATTTACGTTGTAGATGTCCATGGGCTCCAGTAACCACTTAACACCAGGTGGGCTGTGAGCTTGTCCACCCATCTAAGCAATAAAAAAAAAAGATTTGATTGTCTCTTAAAATAGCTTACGATAAATTATACAGACAATGAAAAAGAATACAAATTTTGTTCAGTTACAAGAAAGTATTATAATTTTATACTAGACTAAAGGTGGACGTAATGTTTTCCAGAAAAACAAAATTGACATCTGATCGTAGCGATACCTGCCAGACCCAATTGTAAAATAAAGCCGTCGAGGGATCTCAGGTGGCTTTTACAAAATAGGATACTGCAACAATAACATATCGATTTATAAAAAAAACTATCCGTACTCGCCCGCTTCGCTGGGCATTTAAAATTAACATTATTATTTATTATCAATATTATTAGCGAGTCCAACACTCATATAAATATTAGCCTATCCATTAAGTACGTGTATTTTCTACATGGATACCAAGTTTCAAGTCAATCGGATGCATGGTTCAGTAGTTATAACGGAACATCCGTAAAAACCACTGTAAATTTATATGTTAGTATAGATTTGAATTTACTTGTACACTGTTAGATGTTATATGACAAAATAATACGGAAGTACCTCTGTCCGTTTGTTATGCCCAAAACATTGAGTTGGTTTTGAGGAGATTCGTTATGAAAATGTGTACTTGCCATTCTCGGAAAAAATTGACCTCTGATTCCACTGTTGGATATTCGACCACATGTATAATCCATGGGGGACGAAGCTTTTTAAGCGAAAATTATCTTCTTTTTAAGTGTTTGTATGTTCGTTTTCTTTGCTTTCCGAAACCATTAGTGATGGTATTTGGTTCTTTTATTCTTGGCGCTCCAAAGAATGTTTTTTATAGTACCACCAATAAGGTACGTGACGCAGGATTAGTTTTAAGAAATCAATGTTTTTTTACAATTATCGATAATAGCAGCTGAGCATGACCCGGTTTCATTAGTCAATTATAGGATGTAATTTTTTTGTAACGTAAGACTTTTTTTTAGTAATGCACACAGTGTACGACTTAACTTTGTAATAACGTACAAAGAATAACGTATATTTTTTTCATTGACCACGATCTCACGAGCTTTCGTTTGCGCAATACACCAACTCTTATGCAATCAACCGTGAATGAAGTGTACCACAATAAGTTCGCACGTTACCGAATGACCGTGGGTTGTTGCCGAACCTCCAATTTTATTTTCTTTGTACCACGAATAGAACTTAAAATTTATATTTTTATAATAAGGAACTTCGTTCCTATTCGGTGTCTCACGACACCACACATATTTTTTAATTTTGTAGGCAGTCGTATATACTGCCTACCTGATAGTAAGTGGTTACTGTCGCCCACGGACATCAGCAATGCCAGGGGCAGAGCCAAGTCGCTACCTACCGTTAAGTACTCTCCACAAGCTTAAATCTGACATAGAACTGAGCCTGTATAATTAATTATTTGTAATAAGACTATANTTCGGTGTCCCACGACACCACACATATTTTTTAATTTTGTAGGCAGTCGTATATACTGCCTACCTGATAGTAAGTGGTTACTGTCGCCCACGGACATCAGCAATGCCAGGGGCAGAGCCAAGTCGCTACCTACCGTTAAGTACTCTCCACAAGCTTAAATCTGACATAGAACTGAGCCTGTATAATTAATTATTTGTAATAAGACTATAACAGATTATAACTTGATCATTTTGATGACAAGAAGACGACGTTTATACTAGCAAATCCACGAACAATGTAGTTTAATCAGAACAGATTTAGTCTCCGGGGCATTCGTGAGCTCAGTACAGCGGCAGGCCTTTGTGATTTCAAGGAAAATAAGATTGCTATTCATAAATTTTATTGTCTGCGCTTTTTAACACGCGTTTATTAGCTAGGTATGTACTAGTGTGTTCCTTTTTAATACGTTTTTATTAGCTTCAGACGTATGTATGTTTGTAACGGAATCTTTGAACATGATTTTGACCCCCTTCAAAACTTCGGATTAACTTGAAATTTGGTATACTTTATTAAGGACCGATGACGATTCAATATTAAAAAGAAATTGAAAAAATTGAAATTCAATTAGCAAAATGAAAAATAAATAATAGTTTAAAAAACTAACAAAATACGCTTTTATAGAAAATCCAACTAAAAAATAGATAATAAATTTTAATAAATTTGAATTAAAAATACTGTAAGAAAAAATGATTTTATTGTAAAAAAAGCGTGGGGTGCATGGTATCAGTAGTTATAAATATTTTATGAACAGATATGAGTAGAAGGGCTATTTTGATAATATCCTGAAAAGCACCCCACGCTTTTTTACAATAACATCATTTTTTCTTACACTATTTTTAATTAAAATTTATTAAAATTTATTTTTTAGTTGGTTTTTCTATAAAAGGTTATTTTGTTAGTTTTTTAAACTATTATTTATTTTGTATGTAGCGGAATCTTTGAACAACATTTTCACTGACTTCAATACTTCAGATTTATATAAAAATTTGCACAGGCACAAAGGGCCAATGACAAAACCAAAATTTTATAACTTCGCTCTACTATAGTGACTAGCGTCAACAGGTTAAAGAACAGATGTAATCAATTGTCAATTCAATTTGCTCTTTAATTCTGTTGCTTCTAATTTTTAAAGTATAGATAGCTTGGTAGTTTTTTTTTCACATTTTTATCCCATCCTTTTATATGAAAATCAATCCTCAACTTCTGAATCCAACTCTTTTCAAATAGAAGCTGTGTAGATGTGTAGTACTTACTAGGTAGAAGGCTTTATACGATAATTTTGTGCAGACATTATCAATAGATACCTTGGTCGCTCCGAGCTAAATAGTAGCCTTTTCCCGATTGGCTAACTTAGATTTTTCCCAAACTTTTATTCTAATTCAATTGACTCATTACTTAACGTTCTGAAGTTAAACCAAATTTAAATAATTACTCAGGGATGTACTGTGCTGACCGTAGCTAATGTTTGTTGTAAACGCACAAGAAGAAATCTGTGGTTTATAAATATATATTTTAACACGCTGAAAACTAAGTTGCGTGAAAATTTTGCGAGATTGTCTACGCACTTTGACGTTGGCATAACAAAACACAGTACAAGAGTATTATTTGTGTATTAAATGAGAATTGAAAATAGATTTCTTTAATGGCTTCGTTTAAATGTTAATCGTGGAAGATTGCGAATTATACGCGAAAGTGGTTACCGTGATGCGTTAGTATTAGCTTGTCCAACGGCTAAAGTAAATTAGTAAACATAGATATTGTTGTACTCTTATCGGTTTTGGCGAGTCGTAGACAAAATTAAAAATAAAATTTCCGATTAAATTTTGAGTTTTTTTTTGTTATTGTATCGTTGCCGACTTTTAGAATATTTTGCAGTTTCCGGGGCCACTGTCGACTAAGGTGTTATTTGGTCGAAATTTGAATATTATGTTGCAGCAGTAAAACTAGTTTTAATTATCACACATCATCGGCCTATAGCAGTCCGCTGTTGGACATAAGCCACTTCATTGAACATGATCTTCGGCTTTTCTCATCCAGTTCTTTCCAGCCACCCTGCATTTCCAATTAAATATGTTCTCGTTACTCCACACATCCATCGCAACATTCGCACATCTGCTGCGTGCAATAACCTTCCATTCGCCACTTTAGCTACTTTGGCACCTTTGCTTACACTTTTTTTTTTATTGCCTTTGTAGGCAGACGAGCATACGGCCCACCTGATGGTGAGCGGTTACCGTCGCCCATGGACTTCAGCAATGCCAGGGGCAGAGCCAAGCCGCTGCCTACCGCTAAAACTGCTACTAACAAACATAGATATTGTTGTTCTAAGTAAGTTCGTGTATCCAGGCAAGGTGAATTCTCTGTTCGGTCTGGCGGAGGCGATGATGCCGCTGGTCTATGGACCGCTCTACTCCCGCGTCTACATGGCGACGCTCAACGTGCTTCCAGGCGCCGTCTTCCTGCTCGGAGCCGCCATGACCGTACCGGCTGTAGCTATTTTCGGGTATGTATTTTTTTTTATTTTGGGACGAAGTTCCTTATGGGACGATACGGAGGGGTACCCTAACCGGGAAAAAACGTCCGTAACGTAAGATTTTTATTAGTAACGCACACAGTGTACGACTTAACTTTGTAATAACGTACAAATTAGTAATGCACACAGTGTACGACGTAACTTTGTAATAACGTACAAAAAATAACATATTTTTTATCATTCATTGACCACGATCTCAGAGCGTTCGTTTGCGCAATACACTAACTCTTATGCAAACAACCGTGAATGAAGTGTACCACAATAAGTTCGCACGTTACCGAATGACCGTGGGTTGTTGCGATACCTCCAGTTTTATTATTTTTATACCTCGAATAGAACTTAAAATTAATATTTTTATAATAAGGAACTTTGTTTCTATCCGGTGTCCCACGACGCCTCACATCTTTTTTATTTATTTATTGCTTACGGTGAGTGGTTACCGTCGTTCACGTCAGCAACGTCAGGGGCAGAGCTAAGATGCTGTCTACCATTTTTCCGTACTTAATACATAATAAAATATTTAACTAAGTCTTTTGTAGCATTGAACATCTTAACATCAAGAAACATTCGCTAGTCTTTACATATATTTAATTGGTGTAAAGTTTGGTTGTAAGGTAGAGGCCTCTATGAGCTCCGGTTTCCACTTAAAATTCCTGTAAACTTCCAAGAAATGCAAGTCTAAAACGACACCTACAATACTACTAGTTAACTTCACATATTTTTCGCTGATTCATATTATTTTTATCTAAAGAATACGTGTTATTATTATGAAATAGCTTATGTACATGTTAAGCCGTACGTAATAAAACAAAATAATTGCTCGTACCTAATATTTACCTCAGTACAGCCGGTGGCAACGTTCTTAAAATAATCTCGATAATTTTTCCATTTCTTAATGATATAAAATTCAATATGTATTTTAGTCTTGTAAATTATACGAAGTGGATTCGCCATGTTTTGTTTGGCCGATTTCCGAACGAGAAAATCTCATACTTATTAATTAAGTAGGGAAATAAAAAGGCAAAGGATAGTTCACTTTTAAATAGCGTTGTCGTACGATCTGACGGAATTCTCAAAATAAATTAAATCACGTACTATTAAAAATACATTATTAACGTTAATGTATATTCTTAATTGCTTTAAATTTTGGAGACGATTTTCGTGTTAACGATTTTTTTAACTTAACCAATCTATTAATTAGGTTCCATAAGTACGTAGTCTCGTTTGCTTTCATAGTAAGTAATATGTTCACTGCTGTCTCCGCTATCGTTCCAGATGGATGTACTTCGAGCACCAGCTCGACAACAAACAAGTCGAAGAAATTGACGATGTCAATAAAGACGTTTAGTTATATAACCGGACTATTCAGCATTTATAATTGTGAATGTGCAGTGTGTTTAGAGTGTGACTAAAATAAAGTAATAAAATATTTATTGGATTTTTATTGGTGACTGTACACGTCTAGATCATCTTTGTTTGACGGTTATTTAAATTGAATATCGGCCGTGGCGAGTTTATTTTCGATTTCTCCGAGTGTGTTTGTGGACGCATTACAGCGATATGGCAACATAAGTGTGTTTGCTCACACAAATTCGAACAATAGCGCGCCAGCGGAGTCCCAGAGGCGGCGGCGGCTCAACCGGTAATTCAATATCGAGCGTTTCTGTTAGTGATGCGTACATCGCTCTGACAATTCGATGGGACTTCAAAATCAATTCTACACAATATAACAGAATAAAAAAATTGTGTTACAAACAAAATATGGAAAAGGCAGCGAGAAACGAGACCGCAATAAAAAACGATAATATGAGTTCGGAAAAGGAAGATTCGCCTTTAAGGACTGAATCTAAAATAGAGATACAACGAATGAATTTCATGGAGAAAATTAGATATGTAAAATCAAACATAACTGTGGAGCCGGTGTTGGCGTTTTTTGTGATGCCTAGCGTATTAGGAGCTCTTGCCATTCAAAATCTAAATTTAGACAAAGCTTGTCGAGTCAACTTAGACTTTGGCGACGATGCATGCACTGCGTTGCGTCTGAGAAAACGAGCGAACTACACCTACGAAGAAGACGAGGTCCAAAAACTAATAGCCTCGGTGCAAGCTTGGAAGAGCGTGATCCACATGGCGGTGCCCACGCTGCTGATCCTGTTTATAGGAGCCTGGAGCGACAAGACCGGAATGCGGAAAATTTGCATGTTAATGCCGATCCTTGGGGAATTCATGACGTGCCTTTTGAACATAATGAACACGTACCTCTTCTACCAAGTCCCGGTGGAGTGGACCGTGTTTATGGAAGTCATTTTGACCTCATGCTCGGGCGGATGGCACACGATGTTCCTTGGCACGTACAGTTATTTGGGTGATATAACTTCGAAGGAAACAAGAACTTTTCGTCTAGGGATCTTGAGCTTGTGCAGTACCGTTGGCTTTCCTATCGGCATGGGGCTTAGCGGCGTGCTGCTGAAGATTCTTGGCTACTACGGAGTCTTCGTGATATCTGCGAGCTTGCAGTTGCTCAATTTTTGTTACGTATTGTTTTTTATCGAGGACCACACTTGGCTCGCGGATACAGAGAAGGTACTTACGTGATTTTATTTATTGCTTATTTAGGAACATTATTTTTTTTCCTTGTCAGTTCGAACCGTGTTGACATCGGTCACATATGTAACGGCATACCATGTGTGACTTACCTCTTAGTTTCAGTAGTGGGAAATTATGAACACGGTTTCAAATCTTTAGAAGTATAATAAAAAAGTAAAATTAATTGTATTCGATAGTGCTTAGTTCTTTGTTTTCTTCGAGGACTCTTGTCTGAGTGTTTGCTTTTGTGGCGATGGCGTTTTATATACGGTGGTTCTCCATTTTTTATTTTCGGACGTTAAAGCTCACGATGGCTATTTAAATAAAAAAAACATCCAAGTGATCTTATTACCGATAAGAGTTTTCATGATAGTAGTGATGTGAATTGCAGCAGGTAGCGGCTTACTTGTATCCCTGGAGTCCTTAGCTGTCCTTGTCGGCAGCACCATAGACGAGAGACCCATTCGAAGCTAAAATCTGATCCAGTCCGTCGATATGAGTTATCCAAAGTGACAGTTTATCACAATGACATTTCCAGTATCGTATTAACGTTATTATTTGTGAAGAACGAGTAATCAACAAATAATATAAGTATAACATTATATGGGTCTTGTGTACCTACGTCGTCGTCGTCGTGGTCTAAGGGATAAGACGTCCGGTGCATTCGTATCTAGCGATGCACCGGTGTTCGAATCCCGCTGGCAAGTACCAAGTGTTCCAATGAAATACGTACTTAACAAATGTTCACGATTGACTTCCACGGTGTAGGAATAACATCGTGTAGTAGAAATCAAACCCGCAAAATTGTAATTTGCGTAATTACAATGGTGGTAGGATCTCTTGTGAGTCCGCACGGGAAGGTACCACCATCCTGCCTCTTTCTGCGTGAAGCAGTAATGCGTTTCGGTTTGAAGGGTGGGGCAGCCGTTGTAACTATACTGAGACCATAGAATTTATTTATAATCTCAAGGTGGGTGCCGCACTTACGTTGTAGATGTCTATGGGCTCCGGTAACCACTTAGCACCAGGTGGGCTTGAACCTCGTCCACCCAACTAAGCAATAAAAAAAAGACTAGTATACCGACCTAAAACTTAAAGTTGTATTTTAACATCAGTGCTTCTGGTCAGGATTTTAGAGTAAAATAACAAAATCATTCTATTGTCCTTCATGTGTAGGCGATATATTTCAAGAAAATCCGTTTATATGACTGTGTATGTGAACCCGTAGAGATTATTTTTATTTATCAATTTTCTAACGATATAACTGAGATACGCATTAAAAGGCAAATCACAATGCAAAATTGCTTGCTAAAACATTGAACAAACCAAAAGGTTTCCACAACAAGTTTCCAATTGAGGTTCAATACGATAATCATAGTATGTAATTTTTTAAACAGGTCTTTTTATTTACAAACTTCGGAATCTTTTATTTACAAACGGATCGTTGGGAACCTCTGGGTCTGCGGAGGGACTTCGGTTCCCTCTGTATTTTGTACCGTATGTTCCATGGGGAGTGCTCTGAGGAATTGTTCGAGATGATACCGGCATCTCGTTTTTACCATCGCACCGCCCGCCACCGAAGTAGAGTTCATCCATACTCCCTAGAGCCACTGGCATTGATGAAGTCCATGGGCGACGGTAACCACTCACCATCAGGTGGGCCGTATGTTCGTCGGCCTTTTTTTTATTTTTATTTTTTTTATTTTTTAACGCTGGGGAATCCATTTACGGATACCCGGTCGAGGGGGGTAACGGACCGGGTTATGTCGGACTCCGGCGCCTCCTGAGAGGAAGAAGGGGAGAAGAGAAGAGCCGATTTCTCACAGGAGACTACGCCTTGAAAAAGGCGCGCGAAGCACTACAAGGGCAATAAAAAAAACTATTCTCATTCTGTAATTCATTTGTTTAAAAACATTTTAACTTTCAATATAGTCATCATACATTTAATATTTTTTAGTAAAATTATACTTTATTAGTAAGAAATCCTTACTAGGATATTTTCCGAAGGCATCCGAAATACTTTTTTTATTTTTGATGGGTGACGAGCTCACAGCCCACCTGGTTTTATGTGGTTACGGCAGCCAAGAGACATATATAACGTAAATGCCGCCACCCATCTTGAGATATCAGTTCTAAGGTCTCAGTATAGTTACTACTACTCAGACTACTATTAAGACGGCTATGGTTTCATTCATGAGTCACAACGACTTGATTGGTTGTTGACAAGGTCATCGACCATATCAACGGCGGCTCTTATAACCCAACATTTGTTTTATCGTTTAGTACAATAATAAGGCTTCATTTTTGTCGATTCCTATTTGAAGCCCTGTAGTGGGTCGTATTTTAAGCTTACCCGAGGATGTGCCAATATCTAATGTTCGTCTGGTTGAAGAGTATCCATCGTTATACGATACTACGGAGACTTTTTTTTATTGCCCTTGTAGGCAGACGAGCATACGGCCCACCTGATGGTGAGTGGTTACCGTCGCCCATGGACTTCAGCAATGCCAGGGGCAGAGCCAAGCCGCTGCCTAGCGCTTAATACTCTCCACAAGCCTCGTTTGAAGAAGGACATGTCATAGCGCTCGGGAAACACCGTGGAGGGGAGCTCATTCCATAGCCGGATGGTACGTGGCAAAAAATACCTCTGGAAACACACTGTGGATGACCGCAGTGGCTCCAGGTAGTATGGATGAACTGTACTCCGGATAGAGACTTCCGGACCCAGACTTAGGCTGGGCTGGGTGCCGTTTTTATGTCTTTGAGGTTAATCTTAATTCAGATGGACCGTAGGTTCGTCTCGCCATCTAGAGCAAAAACAAATATAGTACAGATTGCGTCCGCTAGCGGTTTTGGCCTAATAGTCAAGTGAACAAATGCTGATATTTTTTTAATTTTTTTTAAATTTTTTTTTTATTGCCTAAGTAGGGAAACGAGCATACGGCCGGCCTGAAGGTTAGTGGTTACCGTCNTGAGGTTAATCTTAATTCAGATGGACCGTAGGTTCGTCTCGCCATCTAGAGCAAAAACAAATATAGTACAGATTGCGTCCGCTAGCGGTTTTGGCCTAATAGTCAAGTGAACAAATGCTGATATTTTTTTAATTTTTTTTAAATTTTTTTTTTATTGCCTAAGTAGGGAAACGAGCATACGGCCGGCCTGAAGGTTAGTGGTTACCGTCGCTCATGGACGTCGCAATACCAGGGGCAGAGCCAAGCCGCTGTCTACCGCTAAGCACTTTATTACTACTTTCATTTATAATTCCCGCAATTCCCGCATTCGATTGTGCTATTAGACAATACGTAAAATCAAATATTGTTGGATTATATTTTTAGTAAATATAAGAGAGGACGGTTTGCGTGGTATGGATATGTGATGCGTAGAGAGAAGATGCATGTGACTAGGATGTTGTATGGATATGGTAGTGCAAGGTAGAGTGCAAGGGGGAAGAGGTCGACCGAAGAAATGGATGGAGTATGTGAATGATGATATGAGAGAGACAGGAATGAGTGTTGAGATTACGGCTGATAAAAGAGAACGGAAGAGAAAAATTAGCTGTGCCGATCCCACCTAGTGGCATAAGGTCGAGAAAAAGAAGAAGATATTTTTAGTAACACAACTTGCAAGATGAGCAGTCACTGTAAAACTGAGCAAACGTAAAACGCGTATACTGGTCTGAAAAAACAAAAATCCGGCGCCACCAGAATTACGGCATGAATTTAAGCGTCGTCCCCCAGCGAAAAACATGAAATTGGCTCCTGCGTGACCGTGTTAAAATCGAAAGCGGTCTTTAATCAAAATTATTTGCAGGTCAAAAAAACAGGATGTGGCGGTTGCCTGGTGGAATTTTTCGACTTTCGAAGCTTCCGAGAAACATTGGAGATTACTTTCAAGAAGGGGAAAAATAATAGGAGACTAAGAATGTGTTTAATATTGATGGTCGTTTGCTTGAACTTCGGACCAATGTGGGGTATGTAGATGTTTGAATGTTTATTGGTAGACGACTTCTTCATGTACGTATGTTCGACAAGAATAGATAGAGTCCGTACCGTAGATATCATAACACTAGTAACGGTTTTGTTATTTGTTTTATTTGTGACTAGCTGACCCGGCAGACTTCGTAGTGCCTCAATCGATAAATAAAATACCTAAACTTTTGTATAAAATAAACTTAAAACAAACAAAAGGAATCCGCTCGACACATCAAAGGAAAAACAAAATCGTTATTTTTGTTCAATTCCGAGCATTTTCATATTTATACCTTTTAAACCTTCTCTGGACTTTCACACATAATTCAAGACCAAAATTAGCCAAATCGGTTCAGCCGTTCTCGAGTTTTAGCGAGACTAACGAACAGCAATTCATTTTTATATATATAGATAAGCTAATACACAGACAGCGTTTCATTACGAAATCGCTACATAAAAATTGCAAAGCCAATAAATAATTCCTCGTTGATAACGCTGTATGTGTTATAGGATAAAGAGATCAGGTAGTAGAAACACAGGAACAGGCTCTTTGCAAGCTTTATGGTTTTCGAATGTATTATGGATGTCAGAATCACAAAAGAGCTTATGTCTTTTGTTCGAGTTCAGACAAGTTCACCCAGAACGAAATGTCAAATACCCCTCAAACTGGGTAGCCGGAATTTGAACGGATCCCGGCGTCAGGGTAACTAACCTCTGACGTAGATATCATTGAGGATCGTGACCCGAAGATACTGGTAATTAAAGGAATATTGTTTGACAAGCATTGGAGTAAATATTGATAATGTTTTGTTTATGTCTGTTTATATTAAGTTTGTTTGATGTATCAAAGCACTATTACACTAACATAAGCATGAAGCATAAACTTCTATTTTATCAACAATCGTGTTCCGTAAGGTTACTTAATCTTAATTAATTCGAAGTTATTGTTTCTATTGTTATCTTTCATATGGTGTATAGTGATTAAACTAAACATTTAAATAACATTTTCATTTTAGGTGAATTAGGCATAACTTACATCTTTACTCGTTACCAATTCAACTGGGATGAAGTGACGTACAGCATTTTCAACACTTACAGCTTGGTCACCCACTCATTAGGTAAGTTCATAACAAAAACACTTCTGATAATTAAGTTAAAGTTGAATATCGAATTCGCGGTTTTGCATTGATATGGTATTGGGTCTTCTTCATGATGTGTGATAGTTACATATCGCACATACGGTGCGATAACGTCACTTATGCTAATATATGTAATTTTTCAGGAGAAACATTGGAACATTCAACATCTTATTATATATAGTTCTGCTAGACTAATGAATTAAAAACGATAATATTTAAACTACAACTTTAGATTTCATCAGTAAAAGCAAACATCTCACTGATATAACTAATATAACTATTAAGAAATGTATTTTCTCATACTCAGTTCAGTTTTAACAAAAATAGCTTAAGTGACTTTATAGCATCGTATGTGCGATATGTGAGCTATGTGATATGTGTAGGAAATTGGTAAGACAATAGAAACAAGATCCCGTTCTTTGACGTTCTCGAGTTTTACTTCCTATAGAGGGATTTAAAGATAGGCTATGTATCATAATCCATGGTGTGGTGCACTTCATATATTGTATACTAGCGACCCGCCCTCGCTTCGCTTCGGAAACTGTAATTTATTATTGATATCTCCACTATTTAATGGATGTTATTATACATATAAACCTTCCTTTTCAATCACTCTATCTATTGAAAAAAACCGCATCAAAATCCGTTGCGTAGTTTTAAAGATTTAGGCATACATAGGTATATAGGGACCGAGAAAGCGACTTTGTTTTATACTATGTAGTGATTCAACGTATTTCAAATGCAACCCTTGAATGCCATCCATAATAATATCCGGTAGATAACATTTTCATGTAACGAGCGTCAACTGTATCTTGAAAGCTCTTGACCGAAGTTCGCGAGAACAAACAAGCCGAAAGCTAATAAGCTGCCGTCAAAGCCACTGCTCATGTTTGACGCAACAACACGGCCGCCGGAGGCTGTTTCAATCTGTACTGTTTTGATTTGCATTTATATTAGTTTAATCGTGTTTCAATCATAATTTATTAGAAAATTAAAATATCTCGACTGTCTCATATATAAAAAAAAACAATAAAGATTTGCAGTAATTAACGATAATAATCGAATATTTCGTGTTTCTTCCTCTATCTTTTTCTTTCTTCCTTCTCTTAGCCCGGTAAGGCTGGATCACTTATCAAAGAAAAAGTTTTATTCGAGGATAGAGTAGAAGTTATATTCACTGTGTGTTAATTACTTAAAACTTATATCTCAAGGTGTGTGGCGCATTTACGTTGTAGATGTCTATGGGTTCCAGTAACCACTTAACACCAGACGGACTGTGAACTCGTCCACACATCTAAGCAATAAAAAAAATGTCAATTAGAGATGACGTCGCTACGATAGAAAAAAATGAATTTTGAAGAAAACGCGAAAATATGTTTGATATTAAACTTTTTATGTTACGCAAGAGACTAATTCTAGACAGCTTAGTAATTGGGAGTGAATTGAATTACACGACAAGAACACTTCCTCGTTTGGATTACTTTTACTTTCTCTATTCTGTCAATATTGTTGGAGTAGTCAAAAGTGGCCTAGCATGCCTGTAATATGTGATGGTAGATGGAAAGATTGGTGTAATATAAAATTGCATTCTTTATACCCAACTCACAAAGAGATATCGACCTCTTCTCATATGTTATTAAGCTTAACTTTGGATTTTGTTTAAGGTACGCTGTTAAGTATAGGCATTATCAGCAAGAAATGGAAGGCGGACGATGCTGTTTTGGGGATCATTTCAACTAGTAGCAAGATTTGTGGAGCACTGGTATTGGCTTTTGCAAGGAATGGTTTTGAAGCATATTTTGGTATGGATTTTATTATAATCTCATTTTTTCATTTTTTAACAACGCCGACGTACCACTGTGAGGTTCCCGTGGATTGCTGCATGTTAACCACTGATTAACATACATGGCTTATTACTAAAACTGCCTAGTAAGTTAATCGGGGCGGGGTATCATTCCCCTACACCACTAATGAGGTATTATGAATGAAGTTACGGGTAGTGGGTTGTATTAAACTTCTATGGGTATCTACCATTAACTTGTCTATTTTTACGATTAACAATGTGTTCCAAAGGTGGCATAGATGCATTATAATCGGCCTTATGTTCTCGAGTCGCACCAATCCCATATTTGGCGTTCGGTTTAAAATAATAAAGTTAACCTGAAAAATTTTTACAGCACCACTTGTGGAGATTTTAAATGGCACCTCGACTATTGCTTTACGGTCAATCGCATCGAAGTTGGTTTCACATCAAGAACTAGGTGATTATTTTTTGTTTATTTGATATTTTTGTTCTGTTGGAACTATTTCAACAAAATCTGCTGTATGGTTTATAGGAGCCTATGGCAAAAGGGGAGTATTATCAAAATGGCGATAACGTTAAAGAAAAAAAAAAACTTCTTTTCCTGTTATAAACAAAAACAGTGGTCATTTAGTTTTCATTGGTTATTAGTACATTTTATACTTGATGTAGAAACGAAGCTTTGGTATCTGTTGTGGTAAGGTCGAATAGATTACCTAATATCCTATATACTGCTACCGCAAAGCAATAATGCATTCCACTTTGGTTTGATCGGTAGGAAACTGCTTACGAACTCCTAAACTTCAGCGGCTTATTAGTGGAGTCCACACCGCGAATTTTACCACCCGCTTTGTGACATTTTGTCGAAGTTTTGATTGGGTTTGACACCGAAACATGTAATGGGTTCTTAGCAGGATAGCCGTTGTATGCTGACAAAGCAAGCTTCCACCAGTAGCTACGCATATAACGACTCAATATCTTATGTTCGATTAAGGAATTTGGTTTTATGGCGCGGAATTTTAATCCACATAAAGAACTCAGTTCGAAATCGCTGTTTTTTCAGGTAAAGTGTTCTCACTCTTCGGGCTAGCGGAGACGACAATGCCATTAATATTTGCGCCTTTATACACCAAGGTGTATGTGTCCACCCTTCATGTGTTGCCAGGAGCCGTTTTTCTACTTAGTGTTCTTTTTACGATACCAGCATTAGCTATTTTCGGGTAAGTTCCACAAATATACCTTGAACCAATAGAAATTGTTCTTCTGCGTATCTTAAATTTTACCTAAGTATCTTTTTACATGTATGTAAACAGTTTTTGATTATTTTAATTTGATGTTACCAAGTAATCTGGGATTTTCTTGGTAGAACTAATTTTAAAGTGCTTTATCGTGGCGTTGATAAAAACCTATTGAAGGTGGAATTGTTTCAATAATTTCTTTCCCCGCAGATGCTTTTACCACCAGCACCGGAAAGAGAAGAAAGAGAAAAGACTAAACTTGAACAGTTTGCCTGCCACAGGAGAAGAGTGCAAGAAGAGCATAGCTGAGAAGGCAAAAAATATCAATATCGTTTGATGTAGAGACTATAGAAGCTACAAATCTTTTTGTTCCAGTCCATCAATAAGCCTAGGCATAGTTTGACTTCGAATTTCGTTTCAAAAACTCCTCGTAATGAAAACTAAAATACTTTAAATTTTAGCTGATTTTCATAAATGCAATAAAGGTTAATTTTTATTTCTTCAAACAAAAGTTATCGAGTATAGGCCTTTATAATTGAAATACATGAATAAGGTTTATTTGATCATTGTATTTTTTCATTCATTATGTATTATCGAGCTGCCTGTTAAAACTGTGCCTTTATAGCTCATGTTGTTACCCGTCTTAAATTAAAGCATTATCCACGTTATATTTAGATTTGGCTGACGGTTTCTGTATTGACTTGTCGTCATTACTTCTCGTAAACATTTTCGGATTGGCAAACCAGGACAGGTTTTTGGCCCAATATATAAGAAGCCCAGATTTTTTGTATCGGCTCTGCCAACTAATTGATTCCAACAAATACTTAGCTAACCATTATTGAAGTCTTACATTCTGAAATAATAATTAACATAAGGTAATAAAACTGTAATACAAAATTTGGAAAGTATTTAGTGCTGGTGTGAGTTCACGGCCGTAGGCAGACGCTACCATCGTTTCTAGTTCTGTTGCGAAGTAGTCGTATATGACACGTGTGGGACAATGCTTATATTGTTTACAATGGAAGACAATATACAAAAAAAATCCCGGGAAGATTAAATTTAATAAGGCAAGCTAATCTAGCCACAGACGTCTGTGCTGTAGTAGAATAAATCCTGAATACTATTTACTGGTTCATACTTCATATCCAGATTCTCTCAACTCTCAATCTTCAGGTTTTCTTTACAATATTATAAATCGCATTGCTTCCATTGTTTTTGTTGTCACCTTTTTTTTTCAAAGTATCATTAAGGATAGCGTTAAATGACATTAGTTAGGTAAATACTACGAGTAAATGTCCTTTTATCAATCAATGATTTCCGTGTCAGGAATTAAATTCAATGTTTGTAGATTTAAGTTTTAACACGAACGCACACACGAAGAATTTTAATTAGATTTTCGCATCGGAAGTTCCGTGATTCCTAACTTAAACAAAAATGTAATTAGGAATTTTCATTAAATCGAATTTCTACTGATATCATTTGTAAAGTTGGCAGATCCATGTACTTCAAATGTTTCGAAGCTATTCTGAATTTTCTCATAGAGAAACCTAATAAGTGTTTAAACGTGTCATGTGCGCCGTGTTTATAAAAAAGACTTGTTTTGTACTTTGATGATATTTTTATTTTGAAAATGAATACATTGTAATTAAAACTAAATCTCTGGTTCTTAGTGGTTTTCTTTCCTTTTGGTATTGTTGGGCTATTTCGTAGGTAAGAATGGATACAACCATCTCGCTTATTTTTGCTGCTAAGTAGTCAAGCAGCCATACGTACCGGTTTAAAAGGTTGGGCAACTACTTGAATATAATACGTAGTTAAGATTGCGATCTTATGTACACTACCTTTACGGTCGCATTTTGTGTATATCTACACAGGTTATGAAGTTTGTCTGTTCCGAAATAATATGGACAATCGTATGCGCGGATATAATCCATCGGGTATGGAATTAATTTCACTCACACCGTAGTATAAGCTCGCCGAGTGTCTTGCCTCGTTAGTCTAGTAGTGGACTAGTAGTAGTAATAGTGGAATCTGATCAAGACTTAAGTTTGCTTCCTTGTCAGCATGAACATCTCCTTCGAATGACATTCGAAGTCTTATGCTTTGTGCTGTCTCGCACGGGGGACGTTGAATGGGATTGTTTATTATTATTTCACTAGCATTTTCAAATTTTGGGCTTCCGATAGTCTTCAGCGCAAGCCCTTTCTGTTATGTTTCTTCAAATATAATCAACTAATGTGTCAGTCTTCTTCTCTGTGAATAGCTGGGTTGACCAGTTCTCGATTCACCTGGTTTCCGACGGTTTCCGGAGCTCAGAGGCACTATAAAGGGAGTTTCCACTTCCTTGATCAGTTGTACGTCACAGTTGCATAGGAATAGCGCTATTCCAGCTAAATATCACGCCGCAACTGATAAATACTTCACCGTTCAAAGACAAGACAGTGGTATGAATATTTTCTGTACAGAATCAAACAATGGCAATGCACAGTTGGAAAATAAGGCTAAGACTACTATAGATGGAAAAAATGTCCGTTTTTGCAGAATATCCGTCGGAGCACCGTCATTTGTTAGGAATGTTAAATTTCATGACAATTTAGACCGAGAACTCATTAGTAAGTATCGCAAGACAGCATCAAAAGGCTTCTTCCAAAAGCACGGAATGTTAACCTTCTAGTCGCAGTCGTCGTAAATTAAGCTCTTGAACAAGATGACGCGTCAGCGAACAAATCGTCGTCGCTCTATAAACGCTCTTTCTGATCCTCTCGATCTATTCTCTGTGATTTTGGGCATTTCAAGCAATGGTACCCATCCTTGACGTGCAACTTAACCCAAAGGTCCAACCCGCTCAGTTTCTCACCAGATATTCTCAGTGGGTAGTGATTCTCCACCTGTCATGATGAAAGCAGAATAGCCTCTACTGGCAGATTGGTAGCCAAAATAGGTAAATAGTAGTAAGTAGAAAATCGAAGAAAGTCTCATACACTGGTAGCTTTTGATAAATAAGATCGAGAAAAGTGTTCTGCCTCAATTTCGTGATAATTCGTATTTGAATTGATGAAAGGGATTTAAGAGTGGCATTTTTTGTTCTACGTAAGAAGTATTTCATTAGGTGTGTACTTCTTTCCTATGTCGGGAATACAGCCACCTGTAAAGAGAATTTGGCTTATTTTTTTCTTTATAAAAATGAAGTTTTAAATAGAAATTATACAAAAGTTTGTGTAATACTAGTCAATCGATATACAGTTCTTAATTGTGTTTTGTTGAAACTACACCGATGTTTCTAAAGCTAATTATATAGTGCCCGAAAAAAAACCATTTAATAATACAAATGAAAAAACAACAATCTATATTCTGACTTAATTTGTTTCCATTCTGATTGTCATTCCTGCCTGCCATTCGCGTGATTATAGATTCCAATGTCCAAATTATCTGGAGCCATTGAACACACAGACGCTGGATTATTCACTGCCTCTTTCGAAAAAGGGATTCCTTGAAGTCGCTAACTTATTTACAAGGCTATGTTGCAAGCTTGCAGGGTGTCCCAAGCTGTCACAAACAAGTCAGTGGGTAAACAAATTAATTGGCAATTGACCTGCTGTCTTAAGCTGGACAATTGCATTACAATTTCGGTGTCTAAGGACCCGGGTGGTTTACAAAAAATAAACAAAATTAAGGCAAGGCAATCGGTGTGCCCGGTCCGAGGTATGGCGCCGGTTGTAAGCGGCAGGAGTTTTTAGTGAGGTTCAACTCCTACATAGCCCACCTGCCGCGCTGGTAGGGATCCGGCGATTTTCTCCTGTGGAAAAAAAGGCAATCGGTGTAAGGCAATTGATCGCTTTTCACACTCACGTGAATACGAAGGCGACAGGAAGAGTGAGTGCCCCTCCAAGCAGGAATACTGCACCCGGCAGAGCGTCCATAGTAGCCGTGTACAATCGCGTAAACATTGGCACGAACATTATCGGCATCAATACCTCAATCAGGCCGACTATTGAATTTAGTTTACCTTGAAAAATTACAAACATTAGCTGTGCGTGTCAGGAAAAGTTCTTGTGACTTCTATCTAATGCAGCCTGTGAGTTTGTCTGCATATCTACGATAATAAATGAACCGAGCATACACAGAGATTAAATGTTTTTATTGAAACTGGATGGATTAGACAAAGCTAATAAAATAATAACTAAACGTCATCAAATATTTTTCGTTTTTTTTTCATTCGTATGGAGCATGATATTAAGAATAATCATTATTATCGATAACAATATCAATCACAAAATTTACCTACTGAACGGATTTAGATGCAAATTTACAAGAAGATAGTTAGGTAATAGCTTGGTTTTACAAATATGATACTTTCTATTACTTAATTTAAACCCTCTTTTTGCACTGCATCTTACCGCATGAAACCAGAACTTTAACTACTATGTGAAATGTTCGCCTCCAGTTCGCCGCTGCAAAGCTATTGTGGAATCCTACCTCTGATGAGGATGAGAACTTGAAGAATATCAGGTAGGTTAACAGCTTTGTATTCGATGATTCAGACTGTTTTTCCATCTTCGTCGCATCGCCAGAATATCCCTATGCTAAGCCTATGCTTCGTATCGCCAAATTTTCAATCATTTATCTACTACACACATGTTGTAGCTATTTACATACCACAGTAACCGCTACTCGCTTGAATTTAAAACGCACAAGTGAACCTATGTAATTATATTTGTAATAATAATAATAATAGCATCTCACCTATTTCGTTCGATTCCACCAGTTTCGAGGATATCGATCTTATTACAAGCATTGATGTTGTGCTCAGTATATCTACGATGGGTGCTGGAAAACAAGCACGCATACATAAGCATTCTTTGTTACATTGTTAAGCAGTTGCATATTATATGTCATGATCTTAAAGTCACTGGGTTTTTTTTTTATCGAAGGATTTTTGGTTGCCCGGAGGTTTTTCCAGTTTCACCAGGACGGGTGGGCGAGCAAAGGCTCAGCCAGGAGGGGTGGGATTTGCTAACAGTTGCCCGAGCGCCTCCGAAAGAGACCTAATAACTCAAGAGCAACTGCTTCGCGAATGAACCTACTACCGGATCGGAATCGCGACCCGCTAAGAAGATCCGCATGGGTTACGTTGCACGTGGACCTCTTTGTCGAGTTCAACGAGTACGGTTACCGGAGTCCTTAAGCCTGCTCCTAAGTCACTGGGGTGTAAATGGCACCATCCACATAAAGAGAAGAGTTCGAAGTTCTTATTGCACTGGAAATCTGGTAGCTGGCTGTGGCGGTAGCCATCATAGAACACAAATATTTGATAGATACCTGAATCTCGCTATTAAAATTTGCAAGATAAGTTTGAATATAATATACAAGTTCCGAACATTTGGACCATCTAGGGGGCAGTTTTACCCGATCTGTGGAATATCTTCCCTTTACCGTTACCTTAATACCACGAGTTGAAATTAAGCCAAGGTTAAATCTCACAGTGAATAGTCAGATCGGGTGTTCAATTGCACATGTCGTGTAAAACTCAGTGAAAACAAAATGGACAGAGCTGGTTCGCTTTAAGTAAGCAGAAAGAAGAGAAAGAAGAAAGAAAAGTACGATATTATTGTTGAATCATTATGCATTCGTGAACTACCAGATAAAACTATAAAAAAATATATGAATAAATTGAAAACTTCAGTTGTACATAAATGACTAGGCATTGAAATGCAGCCCGATGATAATTTGTTTCATTGATAACTTTTATCTGATAATTATAATGCAGTTTGAATATCTTATAGGTACATTACTCAGATATGAATTGCAATCAGTCATTTTATATCAGTTAAAAAGAAAATAAATAATGATATAAATTTTGTTAAGGCGCAACCTACAGTAATTGTGACTACGACAGTTGTTATCATAACGCTTCATGAGGTGTGATACCAGCCTAGCAATGCCGCATTTAAAGGATTACTCACAATCTGAGGACCGATTGAAGTGGATGGAATTCTCGCTAACTGTGAAGATTGATAGCCTAGTCATAGCATTAGATTAACCAACACTTCGATAAAGCGGCACGACACGAGAACCCTCTCATCGTGGCCGCCGGTAACTACATTCCCGATCCTACGGAAAGAGTGGAAAGCAGTCGACGTCGCCCAAAACACGTCATTTCGGATCCTTCCGATCCACTAACGGTGCTTTTAGGTACCTCAAGCACCGGTCACCGTTCTCATCGAACCCGTCACTTGCGACGAAGGGCTCGTCGAGTAAATTAACCCTCAGACACAGCCTACTGAGTATCTCGCCGGATCTTCTCAGTGGGTCGCGTTTCCGATCCGGTGGTAGATTCTGTGAAGCACGGCGCTTGCTAGGGTTCGTGTTAGCAACGTCGTCTGGTTTGAGCCCCGCGAGCTCACCTACTAGTTAACTAGTTAAGGTTACGCTGAAATAGCCTCTCAAGGCTATCAGCTTAGGTAGGAAAAAAAAAAGAAGATTAACCAAATTCGTTGCTTACCCACACAAAAGATTTGCACGTTTGGGGCGAAGCAATACACGAACGATGAAGTAATTTTACTTGTCGTAGACACGATGCCNACACAGCCTACTGAGTATCTCGTCGGATCTTCTCAGTGGGTGGGTTGCGTTTCCGATCCGGTGGTAGATTCTCTGAAGCACGGCTCTTGCTAGGGTTCGTGTTAGCAACGTCGTCAGGTTTGAGCCCCGCGAGCTCACCTACTAGTTAACTAGTTAAGGTTACGCTGAAATAGCCTCTCAAGGCTATCAGCTTAGGTAGGAAAAAAAAAGAAGATTAACCAAATTCGTTGCTTACCCACACAAAAGATTTGCACGTTTGGGGCGAAGCAATACACGAACGATGAAGTAATTTTACTTGTCGTCGACACGATGCCGAGTAGTGAGTCGTGCCATTTCAAATACTTGCTTAAAACTACAGTGGAGAATATTGTACCTGAAATAATTTCAACACAAAATTCGTATAGTAAATTGTGAATGATATGAATTTTACAATTTAAATGATTTTCGAATTTTATAGAACAGACCACGTAGTTTTAAAACTAGTTACGACGATTTTAACGGATCAAATGATGTGAGTTCGCTGCAATGCGCTTTGAACTTTATTCGCTTCTGTTATAATAGATTCTTGTATACAGTGTTCAACTGAAAATTGATTAATTGTCTTCTATTTTTCAAAATAGCATCATTCTAAGCTTAAAGTAGCCCGATCCAATCTTTCCGTGGGTATCGTAAAAGGCGACTGAGAGGTTTAAGGGGTAATGGGAAAAATCATTGTGTACATTTCCTATATATTGCGACCGCTAACCAACACTCATTAGTAGCAGAATGTATTGTGACCTTATGTGTAGGTATCACCAATCTCCTATTTGTTCAGCGAAGCAACAATATTAGGACAACTTTTGTTCAATATAATAGAGACTCCAGCTAGTGTGGATGGGTGGCGGTTTATATATTGCCATGTCCATCTATTACGTTTTGAACACGTTCAGTGTCCTTAGTGCGAGTTTTTTAACTTATCTTTTAAATTTGTATGTAGTTAGAACAGCGCCCCTAGCGGCAAACGTAGGCAAATGTTTCAACTCCATATAAATTTGAGTTAACTTTTACGCTATCGAGAACGTTAAAAAACTCGCACTAAGCACACGGAAGTACAGACGTAGCGCTCTACTACAGTGTAGCGTATATTCGTGTAGGTACACCTCATCTATCTACCGAGAAACTTTGTTGATTTCATTTATAGAAGGAGTATGTTTCAAACACTCTCCATTATGATAACTTGACTATCGCCACACTGAAAAAGTTATGGGCGTAGCTGTAAATAATTAGCTTAATAGATAAACATTATTATCAGCCGTGTTATTTATTATAGCTGTCTTTATCGCGACATAGAAGTCAATCTACAATCTAATCTAATAATGACATTGGCTTTTTAGAAAAATGAAAACCAAACATATACATAATAAAATATTGTAAGTCTGTAACATATTAAAAAAAAAAAACTTTTTTTGGAGTTTACTCCTTTAGAATTGATTTACATATATAGGCCCGGGGTATGAAAATTATGGGGACCAAAATCGTACTAGCATGTCACACGAAATGCGTTATGCGTTACGCGGCCGCGTTATTGCAGGTGACGCCGGGCTGCTGCGCCGGCAGTCCGCCACAAAGCCTCGTACTGATCGCGCGTTTCTCTCATTATTGTATTTTCATATATTTGTTAGTCGTTTGTTTTGTGTCNTCCAGGATTCGTCACCTGATACAATGTTGTATACAGCATTTGAGGATCCTGCGTGGAATCTTTCGAGAGTTCTGACGCACCAAGTAACGCGAGCCGCTTTTTGCTCTTCACAGAGCGAATGCGGTATCCATCGGGAAAACAACTTTTTTACACCTAATTGTTCATGCAAGATTAATTGTATTTGACTCATGCCAATGTCTAAAGTTGCCTGAATTTCGCGGTATGTCACATGTCGATCATCCTCAATCAGTTTACGCACAGCATCAACGTTTTCTTGGGTGACTGCAGTTTTTGGACGACCTTGACGGGGGTCATCACTGAGCTTGACATGTCCACGTTGAAACTCAGCAAACCAGCGATAAATTGTGGTTTTGGATGGGGCTTCATCACCAAATGCAGAAATCATCCGGTCAACACACTGTTTTTGTGTTAAACCACTTCGAAAGTCATAATAAATCATCGCCCTTGAATTTTCTCGAGTCAATTCCATTTTTTCAACGACTAAACAAGTTTGACAAAACCTCGTGACAAGACCGAGAATCTTTTTTTAAATAAATAAATGGTATTCGATTTTTAAAACCAAGGAGTTTTCAATTAAAAAGATTTTAATATGACAGGAACACTGGAAATATTCCATTCCCGATACTTTTAGTGCAGCCCTCGTATTCGCCTAGGTACATCTCATCTATCTACCGAGAAACTTTGTTGATTTCATTTATAGAAGGAGTATGTTTCAAACACCCTCCATTATGATAACTTGACTATCGCCACGCTGAAAAAGTTACGGGCGTAGCTGTAAATACTTAGCTTATTAGATAAACATTATTAACAGCTGCGTTATTTATTATAGCTGTCTTTATCGCTACATACAAGTCATTTTACAATCTAATCTAATAATGACATTGGCTTTTTAGAAAAATGAAAACCATACATATATACATAATAAGATATTGTACGTCTGTAACATATTAAAAAAAAACTTTTTTTAATTCTATTTTTGGGTTGAAGAATCACAGCCCATCTAGTGTGAAGTGGTTATCAGAACCTGTAAATAATAAAATATGATGGTTTAAACGTCTCTCTCTCAAGCGTCCGATCCCCTCCGAAGTCAGAACCCGGGTGGGGTAAGGGGGTAATTACGGTCTACGTTGCAACCAAACGCGCTCACCGCAAGGTCTCACCTAAGGGCGCCACGCCGAAAAAACATAAAGACCACCAGTCACTCATACGCTCGTTTTTTAATTGCCTTTAAAGTGATAAAATTTACAATCCCTCTGATAGTGAGTGGAGTCCGTCATTCATGGATATTCGCGATTAGGGCCTGACAACTCTGCAGATATGACGGCTTGAATGGAAAAAGAGGACACGCTGCGCAGTTCACGCATAGTGTCTTAAGGGCCAGGAGAATAAGAAGATATTTATATCTGGTAAATATCTTTAGTTGGAACGTGAAAAAAAACAACTTACCAACGATTGTGGCAGCAAAGTTAAATGTCTGAAAAAATGAGAACTGCATTTCGTTCCAGTTAAATCTGTATCTTACAAACAGATATAGAACAGCTCTTTCACCTGCAGCAAATTTAAATTTAACATTTTTATCAAACTACTATTATATTATGTGAATTATTTCAAAAAAAAAACTTCATCGAATGTTTACTGCTGGTAGGACCTCTTGTGTAGGAAATCTATTGGATCTTACTTAAAATTAATTTAGATACGAAGCTAATTTAGATCTTTTGTTGTGGTAGTTTGCATTTCGGGATTAATATTCTCAAACCCTTTCTGTAATTTTTAAAGTATTACAAAACAAATATTGACCAATAAAGGTTAATAGTTATATGCAATTTATATTTATTAAGTGACAATGTAAATTTTGAAGTGCGCAAGGTTCCAGTTTGCGTCAGTCCACGATACCACTTCGTTACGTGAGCGATAAGTGGGTCTGATCGGTTTTGGATGGTTTGATAGATAGGTTTGATATCACGGCATGTCCCAAGAAGGTATTACCATCTTGCGAATTTCTGTCGCGAAGTATTCATACATTTGAGCCTGAAGGGTGGACAGCCCTTATAAAATACAATTGAGATTCCGATCTGATATCACCAAACTAAGTAAAACCACCTATATTATTAGCTTATATTTAGTTCATTTTTAGGTATATATTAACATTAAAAAATACTTAATTTTAATATTTAGTCATTTAGTATACCATATTTGCTTTGTGGAACTTCCTTCTTAAATTCCTGTTTAATGAGACTAGGGATTCTCTGAATGCTAGATTTTTTGGTCCACAAAAAGCAATTTCTGCTATTTCTTGGATATCGTTTTTCTTAGTTGCTTTTTCGGTACCAGTTAATAGAGTTTCAAATTTATATTATTTAAAGTGAAACGTACCTTCAATAAGTCCGTACAGCAAGCAAGCGATCATAAATATAATGGCTAAACAAATGCGACGATTGTTTTTTGTCTTTTTGAATAACACCATGAAGCAATCTGTCACAGCTTTAGGCTTGAAGAAGTCTTTTGCAAATTGGATCCAGCCTTTGTTGTCATACTATAACACAAAAACATTCAAAAGGATTTTAGTGTACGACAAAAGTAAAAATGTTACTCCAATGGGGAGTATCTTTGGGTGACCAAACTAAATTTTCGAAGCTAATATCAGTACAGTTGTTACTCATTATCTCAATTGGCTCATTAATATGTGTAATAGTCAAATTAATCCTTAGGATTCTTTTATATTTTCAAAATAATTCTAGTAATTCCCACAGGGGATCACAGGTTTGGAATCATATTTTGATTTATTCAAAGATACTTTGAGCTCATTTCACAGATTGAGTGGCGAAATTTACGTTGTGATATGTGTGGTTTCAAGTCGTCCATCCGTTTAGAGCAATATAAATAACGTATCGATAGAAATACTAAACTGTTTTGACCTTAAAGTTAAGATGCCTGCTAGAATCATATCGATAAAATCCCTCAGGCAGGTTTTTCTGTATATTCACGAATGATTTTCACAGTGAAAAAAATACATCGATTATCAAAAATCAAACACTCAACACAACACAAAAATCATATAATAATTTGTTTAATTTCCGCTGATATATAGATAAGCCAGTGAGAGTGGGTATCATCATCCTACATGTTTCTGCAATAAACGATTTTCGTAATCAATAGAAAAAACTACGATGGAGAAGCGTAGTAAAATGTTTACTCACCCTCATAATTTGTTCTTTAGTTCTCAACTGATCTTTAATCCTGAATGTCAGATACAAAACATTTGAGAGATGCAAAAATAAAGCTGATCCATAAATAGCATAATACCCGAAATACCTCAAAATTATCCCCGAAAATGCCAAACCTAACGGCATCCCAGAAAATGTAAGCACATTAACAAATCCTAACCTCTGAGTTCTACTATCCGTGGTTGNCATAATTTGCTCTTTAGTTCTCAACTGATCTTTAATCCTGAATGTCAGATACAAAACATTTGAGAGATGCAAAAATAAAGCTGATCCATAAATAGCATAATACCCGAAATACCTCAAAATTATCCCCGAAAATGCCAAACCTAACGGCATCCCAGAAAATGTAAGCACATTAACAAATCCTAACCTCTGAGTTCTACTATCCGTGGTTGTTATGTCACAGACGTAACTAATCAGAGCTAAGAATATAACAGAGATACCACCAGTAATCCCCGGGAAGAATGTATCAAAAAATATTAGAGCTTCAAGAGGAATTTCATAGAAGAATATCACATTTAAAAGGTTGCTGATGTTTTGGAAAATTTTCCCGACTAAGGGAACTAGAATGATGGCTTTTCTTCTGCCTGTCTTGTCGCTCCAGCCTCCAGCAAACAGCAGCATAGGGAGCGGTAATACTGACTGCAAAGTACTTTTCCACAATAGCTGAACTGAATAATGCTCCTGGACCATTCTCTCGTAATCAGTGAAGTTATTCGATTGGTTTTGCACTCTCAGTGAATCGCAAATCAGATCGTCTAGTCTGAGGCTTACTCGGCAAGTTTTCTCTAAGCCTAATGTCTGTGTTGAAATGTCTGATAGTATCATAGCGAACATAAACATGAACGCCACGGGCTCTATAGTAATATTGCTTAGTAAGTATCTAAAGCCTGTTTTCTCCTTAATTAGAACTTTATTTGGAGTGTTTAATTTTTCAATTGCTTGATCTGTTATTACTTCATTCGGTGCTGCGGCCATTTGGATTTGTTTTGGTTTATTTTTTATTTTTGTTACTATTTCAACATTTAAAACACAATATTAAATATCTTGAAAATTCACACGACTATAAAATTGATAATTGTTACAAAATTGCACGTTTTACTTAAATAGCATTTATAGACTATTAACTATCGCAAATTATCTGATTACAATGATAAAGTGTATGATAAAATATCTATGAAGTGTTAATAGCTACAAATCTTATTCAGGCTAATTTGTAGTTTTCAAAGTAGTTTATTTCCAATCTATAATCATTCCGTGGCGTGAAAAAGGCGTGAAAAAAGGTGGAAATATCAAATAAATTTTGAACATACATACGTTAACAATCAAATCGTAACCAATAGACTATACTGAAGATGTAAAAGGTTCTAAATGTATGGTTAGAATTTATGTTCTCCTTATGACGGCACACAGGGTAAAATATTAAAAAAAAAACGTGAATGTCATGGCAATTGTACTTGTAAAAACGTGGAAGTGTTAAAAATCTTTGTCCAATTTCAAGAAAACTCCAGATGCTATTCGCTTATTATGTATTTTGTGCAAATAAAGATATATAATTTGACCAATAAGTATTTATGTAGCCGACCGAGAGGGCTGGTGGTCGTGGCGCCGACGACCGCCGGTCCGGCGTCCCGAGGGGGAGGGTGATGGGAGAGATGTGCTGCGCACTAAACGCTTCACTTTCCCCCCTTTGCCTCTTCATGAGTTCTGTCTCATGCGAGGTTTGGACGTTGGTTGTTGAGCGACAGGAGGTTTTAGTCAGTTCCACTCTGACATGATCCGCCCTCTATCCCCAGTGGAGGGCGGAAGTCCGGCGATTTCCTCCTGACCAAAAAAAAAAAAAAAAAGAAAAGTATGTAAATTATTAGAAGGCAGTCAGTACAATATTAAAATTAGACGAAACACTCGTTAGCGGTGATAACGGGAAGTATGCAAAATATCAGATATTAGTAGAATGAAAATGTTAATTCAGTAACCATAAAAGCTTCTCGCCTGATCTTCTCAGTGGGTCGCGATTCCGATCCACTGGTAGATTTTGCGAAGCACTGCTTTTGCTAGGGCTAGTGTTAGCAAATTCTCTCAGGTTGAGCCCGTGAGCTCACCTACCCGGGCGTAGCTGAAATAGCCTCTTAGGCTACCGGTGAATAGGTAGGAAAAAAAACCATAATTGTAGAGGACACAAAAGTTTCTTTTGTACTAAAAGCATGTACTGGTGGTAGGACATCTTGTGATCCGCACGGGCAGGTAATACCGTCCTGCCTATTTCTGCCGTGAAGCAGTAATGCGTTTCGGTTTGAAGGGTGGGGTAGCCGTTGTAACTATACTGAAACCTAGAACTTATAACTCAAGGTGGGTGGCGCATTCACGTTGTAGATGTCTATGGGCTCCAGTAACCATTTAACACTAGGTGGGGTTTGAGCTCGTCCACCCAACTAAGCAAATAAAAATAAATTTAGATAGTTTTATTCAAATTTATTACATTGATCTATTATTTCCTGGGTCTGCGGAGGGACTTCGGTTCCCTCTGTATTTTGTATCGCATGTTCCATGGGGAGTGCTCTGAGGAATTGTTCGAGATGATACCAACGTCTCGTTTTTACCATCGCACCGCCCGCCACCGGAGTAGAGTTCATCCATACTACCTGGAGCCACTGCGGTCATCCACAGTGCGTTTCCAGAGATCTTTTTTGCCACGTACCATCCGGCTATGGAATGAGCTCCCCTCCACGGTGTTTCCCGAGCGCTATGACATGTCCTTCTTCAAACGAGGCTTGTGGAGAGTATTAAGCGGTAGGCAGCGGCTTGGCTCTGCCCTTGGCATTTCTGAAGTCCATGGGCGACGGTAACCACTCACCATCAGGTGGGCCGTATGCTCGTCTGCCTACAAAGGCAATAAAAAAAAAAAAAAAACTCTATATTGATCTATTATTGAAAATATTATACAAAAATCATGTTACGTTAATAATGAATGTGCTATCATCAGATATCTGCCTATATTACTCGTACTGTCACGACAACATAATTAATTTTGAAACATTCTCCGTTGATAACACTAATAGAACTTAGAATAGTTATACTCAAAAGTAATAAATATTATTAACACTGTTTTAATTATTCACGTAATGTATTGCCTATAAAATCTATGTTAAATTTCAATTAAATAATTTAGTGAATTTGAAATACATTTAATGGATATTAAACGGTGCGTGAAGACATTTGGGTACAATACACTTTGATAATTAAATGTTTTGTGATAAAGTCGCTTATATTATATGCATAAAAGTATAATGAAGCATTGAATAATGAATAGGATAAAGGGGAGCTAACACCGATAAACTCTTTCAGAAATATGTTTATGAATATTTAAAAATGTTTTTATTTCCTTTAGAATCATGTTGAGACGAATAGCCTCATCTTGGCCGTGAAGCAGTAATGCGTTTCGGTTTGAAGGGTGGGGCAGCCATTGTAACTATACTTGAGACCTTAGAGCTTATATCTCAAGGTGGGTGGCGCATTTACGTTGTAGATGTCTATGGGCTCCAGTAACCATTTAACACCAGTTGGGCTGCGAGCTCGTCCACTCATCTAAGCAATAAATAAATAAAACTTCATATATCGAGGTAGGCAGTAGTGCTCAGTTGTGTTGCAATTTAAATCCGCAGAGACTTCAGTAGCCACTAATTATCAGGTGACTTGTGCTATCTCAGAGTGTAATTCAGTTAAAATCATAAATCATAAAACAAGTCTAGTAAACCGCAGATACAATGCCTTACCAAAGACCTTTTTACCGCGTACCACCCGGCTTTGGAATGAACTCTTCTCCTTGGTGTTTCTTGAGGGCTATGTTTAGGGTATGTTAGGGTATGTAGGGCATGTTCTTCTAAAAGCGAGACTTACTAAAAGTACTAAGCAGTAGGCAAGGGAACCGGTGGTCGTGACGTTGGCGGCCGCCGGTCCGGCGTCTGTGGGACGGCGGGATGGATGTAATGTGCTCTGCGTCAATCCTGTCCCGCAGTCTCAATAGCCCCGACTGGGCTCCGGCCCGGTCCGGGGTAGGACGCCGGCTGTGAGCGGCAGGAGTTTTTAGTGAGTTTCAACTCCCACATACCCCAACTGCCGCGTGGGCGGGGATCCGGCGATTTTCTCCTGTGGAAAAAAAAGCAGTAGGCAGCCGCGAGGTAGTATTTTGGCAGCGACTCAGCTCTGCCCCTGGCTTTGCTGACGTCCATGAGCGACGGTAACCGCTCACCATCAGGTGGACCGTACGCTCATCTGCCTAATAGGGCAATAAAAGATACGAAATTAATTCTACCGAACCCAAGAGGATGCAGTTTTAGAGTTCAACCGCTTCGAGTTCCTCTCCCCAACGAAACTTTTTAGAAAATTTCGTTTCTAAGGGACTCGAGAGCCCTTGACAGAGAAATGTCTAGACGAAAATAAAATATTTGCACAGCGCGAACGCTAATTACGATTTTCTAATTACGTTAATTGTTTGTTTTTGATACGAAAAATATTTTTAGAATACTCCCGATCCACGGTTAACATGATGGTAAGACAAATAAAAAATCAACTTATATACGCGTTATAAGCTGCTTTCACACTACGCTATACTATAGTGTCATATAGTATAGCAATCTATACTTAGCCAATAATATATAGTACAGTACACTGTGAACATGTCCATAGCAATGTATGGTGCGCGATATTGTTGTGCTATGAGCTTTATACTATATGCTATTATATTATAGCGTAGTCTGAAAGCGGTTTTAATCTCGCCGATTTTATAGTCATTACGATATTTTAGATATTTCGCATACTTTAGTTTTTGTGGCCGCGAATGACTGGAATAGAAGAACAAAATATATAGTAGCATATATTATTTTCTCTTCCTCTATTATCTCTCCCGGTTAGAATCGGCTACATTTGTCCCGCGTGCCAGGGACTAAAAGCGAACTTTTCATCCCGGTTTTGTATAAGTACCTAGGGAGAAAAGTAGAACATCCCTTCGGTGCGTAATATACTACATGCCAAACTAACGGGCGTTTTCATTATTGTAAATAAAGAATTCACACAATTCGATACGTGAGTTGTAAAAGGAAAAAAATAATTAATTGGGTCACTAAAAAAAGCAAAGACACCCGACCTTATAGTTCGGTATTCTGCGATCCATTTTCGCGTATCCGTCACGTGCCTTAAATCAACTACGGTTCCATGGCCATTGATTGATCGGCAACGTCAGATAGCTTTTCAATATTCCGAGGCGGTAAGGGTTGGGGTGGAACAAGAATATGTAGTGAAATTTTTGAAATGTTTTTTTTTATACTTTAAATATATTTATATATTTCTATTTAAATATATTTATATATAATACTAGCGATCCGCCCTCGCTTCGCTTCGGAAACTGTCATTTATTATTGATTTCTCTACTATTTAATAGATGTTATTATACATATANGGCGACCACTTCTTGACCTGTCATCTACACTAGAGTCTTCATTGTATCGTTTGATGGTACGATAAACGAATCTTTTGGTTATATTCAAAATTTTCAGTATGTTAAAAATTTGAATTGGCGCGTAACCGCAACGATGCAACGCAATAACTGCAACACGGTCTTCTTTAAGCGTCCACTCCATATTTAAAAATGAGTAAAATTCTAAAAGTATACATTTTTATTTTCATGAACAATTCGAAATTCGAATTCAATAAACTTTTTTGTGGCCAGCATTCTAAAAGAAAAGTTTTTACTGTGTGACAATACTTATGACCTGACTAGTTATATAAATAAATACACTTTTCACACACATTATCGATAAGGTATTCGTTATTTTATTTGGAATCCACGGATAGCAATGTTGAAGCGTCCGTTGTCTAATCGTTAAGACGCCCGGTGTTCAAATTTTAATTTAGTTGTCGAATTTCGATACCGCTGTCAGAATTAAATACTCGCACTTACCTAAAGCGTACTCACAAACAATTTCTAAGATGAAAGAATTTTTTTTTATTG